TCGAAGAGCACGAAGTTGCCTACAGTTGGCTACGGGCATTCAAAAATGTGGCCCGGGAATGGAGTTCTGGGAACTCGAAGAGCACGAAGTGGCTTACAGTTGGCTCCGGGCATCCAAAATGTGGCCCGGGAATGGAGTTCTGGGAACTCGAAGAGCACGAAGTGGCCTACAGTTGGCTCCAGGCATTCAAAATGTGGCCCGGGAATGGAGTTCTGGGAACTCGAAGACCACGAAGTGGCCTACAGTTGGCTCCGGGCATTCAAAATGTGGCCCGGGAATGGAGTTCTGGGAACTCGAAGAGCACGAAGTGTGTGACTGTTGCATCCGGTTATTCTAAATGTGGCCCGGGAATGGCGTTCTGGGATCTCGAAGAGCACGAAGTGTGTGACTGTTGCATCCGGGTATTGAGAATGTGGCCTGGGAATGGAGTTCTGGGAAGTCGAAGAGCACGAAGTGTGTGACTGTTGGGGAAAAACGAGCCCGGCACCTGCCGCCCGGCAACTCCCAACACCTGCCCGGACCCCCCTGTGGAGTGATCTGCTGCTCTCTTTTGATCCCACTAGAAACCTATCAGTCTTCGCTGTTAGGTAAATTGCTTTTCACCGCCAAAAAAACATCCCAAATGGCCAAGCATACTGTCAAAACCATCCCCAGCCTATTTCTTGACCGTTCTTGAATCTTCCTCCTGTAGAGGGACAGGCCCGACCGAAGCCTAGACGAAAACACGACCACCTCTGCGGCTAGACTCCCGGGCCGCACTGAGACCAGCAGGGCGAGGCCGTGGCCACGGCGAGCTGGCGCGCGCGGCGATGTCTGGCAACTGTCACACTCCTTGGCTCCGTGCTCGCCCGCCGCTGCGGCAACGACTCGCACCCCCTGGCCCCGCCAGGAGCACAGTCAACCCGTACAGTAGCAGGTCGGGCGCGTCCCCCTACAGGGGGGTTTTGTACGAAAAATAATATATAGTCAAAATTATCCCGGCAAAGCAACCTAACAGCGATGTGTAGAAGCATATCTGAAAGCATTCCCCTTAAGATTCAGATGAAAATCCAGTTGTCGAATTCTGCTGTTCTCGCAGTCGTAGTCGCATTCGCGATGACAGTCGCAGCGGCAACGGCAGTCGCAGTCACAGCCTCAGCCTCAGCCTGCCTCCTCCTCCTCCTCTTTCTCCTGCTCCACCTCCTCCTCCTCCTCCTCCTCCTCCTCCTCTTCCTCCTGCTCGTCCTCGTTCTCGTCCTCCTCGTCTTGCTCGTCCTCCTCCTCCTGGTGCCCTCTCCTCCTCCTCCTCCTCCTCCTCCTCCTCCTCCTCCTCCTCCTCCTCCTGGTGGTCCTCGTTCTCCTCCTCCTGGTGCTCTCCCCCCCCCTCCTCCTCCTCGTCCTCCTCCTCCTCCTCCTCCTCGTCCTCCTCCTCCTCTTCCTCCTCCTCCTCCTCCTCCTCCTCCTCCTCCTCCTCCTGGTAGTCCTCCC